TCTCCCTCGCTGTCTCTGAGCTTCAGTTGCAGTCACTACGCTCTCCCTCGCTGTCACTGAGCTTCAGCTGCAGTCACTGCAGCTTCAGTGTCTGTAAATCCTGATTTCTAGACAATCTCAGGACAATGTGGGAATGTTCATGTTCTCCAATGGGAACTCTGACTGACTCCATCTAGGGATTAATAGCTGAGCCCATTGGAGCAGATGGTGATAATAGTTCATATATTACTAGTGCTAGCTAGCTACACAGGACAAGGGAGTACACAGACTCTGTCTCTATCCAGGTGGTGGCTGGGCTCGCCAAAGCTTCACACGGGGTAACAAGGCCTTCTTGATTTTAAGGTGTGCTATAAAACTTAAAAACATACGCAGCAGGGCTATAACTCAACATTTCATTAATTTCTGTAAAGAAAAGTACATTAAAAATTAGTTTTTTAATAAAACAAACTCAATTTTCTAAGTTAAAAAAACATTCTTGATCAACAAATTGATTTTGTGTAACTTACATTTTTTTACGTAAACCACCTCAAGGATTTAAGTTAAAATAACTTCTCGTATTACAGTTTATTATTTAATATCTAAACTTTGATGACCTGAACACAGGCTGTATTAGAACAATGGTAAAAGTTTCGAGAAGAAGAAAACACTGAATTGGTCAAAAAAAAGCCTATTAAGGATGTTTAATTGTTAAAAATAAAAATAAAAAACATAATACAGATAAAGGATTGTATAAAAAGTTCCTAAAAATAATCTAAATAAATCTTGGCAATATCATTAAAATACATTGATTTCTGTATATTTCTGTACTGGTGTTACCGCTCTCGTACTACTTAGAATTATCATTTCCCTGTAATGCTGAATGTTTAAAAGCTGTTATTAAAATAAGTGATTATCATCCATGAACTGTTTTATCAATACAACCATCCATCATAAAGCAAAATTATACAGCTCCACACTTACTTCCACCTACAAATGAGCTTTAAAAGGAGAGCGCTGAAAGGAGCGCTGGGACGGTTTTAAAGTATTCATTATACAAATACATCAGTGATTTGTTACAGTGTTCTGTGTATCTTTGGTGTGTGGATGCAGGGAGCGTATGGAGGCCATGGAGAAGCAGATAGCGAGTCTGACCGGGCTGCTGCAGAGAGTTCTGAGCAGAGCGCCGGAGGCCGAAAGCCCGTAAGACACACACACACACACACACACACACACACACAAACATACATTAATACTGCATGTGAAAACACTCTCCATGTTGAGCCAAACGTGTCCGTAACACATTTGCCTCGACAGAAATGAAAGTTGTATTTCCACCCAGTGCACCAAATGCTTCTAACGCCCTGATACAACATTTGCTGTATAAACTGTTCTCAAAACTCAGAAAATAAGGAAAAATACACAAAGTACAAGTTTATTTGAAGTGTTTGACAACATTATAGAATGGACTCTATAGAGATAGACCTTGTTGTTACAGTAAAATCCTTTTTGTGTAACTACAAACAGCCGTTAATAGCCACCAGACTAATTTTACCTCGCACACAACCCTGGAGCTGCTGGTCAAACGCAGTCAGTTGGTTTGTTTGTGTTATTATGTAATGTTGAACTGTCTGAAAGGGTTAGTTTGGATCTGATCAAACGTGTTGACCACTAACTCCCGAGTTCTGCGAGGTTAAAAGGGTTGCATTTTGGCGGCCGCAACATGCCCAAAAACTCATGAAAGTCTATAAAAAATATAAATATACGTATTACATTGGTCCTACACACGGACGTCACAAAATGGCTTAACCACGCCCCCCATAATCAGCCCCCAAGACACGTACGACTGATATCTTTGAAAATTAGTACACACGTGTATCGTGACCAGACAAGCAGAAAAAGCCTGTTGGACCCAAACCCAACAGGAAGTCGACCATTTTGAATTTCGTGGTCATTTTCGGCGATTTGCACACATTGTATTTGAACAAACTCCNNTGTATTTTAACAAATTCCTCCTAGACAGTTGATCAGATCGACTTCAAATCGATCTGATCGAGGGTTAAACAACAAAGCATCTGTCAGTGATGTGGGAAACTGTTTATGATTCATGTCTGAAATCTTGATTTACTGCCCACAGTTTACTGTTGATCGTGTCGGAAATGAGTAAACATCGCCACAAACACACACACACAAACAT